TGAGAGCGGGTTCCACTACAAACGTCTGGCAGATGAAAGAGGGAAAGAGAGAATTATATTTTTAAATCGTAACATCTTTGGAACGATGAAAGTTTGAAACGTTCAAATCGAACCAGTGTGAGAGCAATGAGATCAGATATACCCTATACTATCCTTATTCTTCAGGTCTGTTTTTGGTATGGATTCTATCTAGGGCTTACTTTAAAACAGAGGTCGGCACGGCCCTATCCCGAGGGCATAGAAAATTTCTCTGCCCGAGCTCTGCCACACACACACTGGAATGAATCACACGCTAGACGCAGGAATGAATCAGATATAAATGCTCGATGTTCCTGTTGTCGTTGTTGGTCATTTGTTCTGCGTCTATTGACTGTGAAACGACGTGATTGTCGTTGCTCTAATCTTCTGACATTGCGTTCAGCTCGTGTATCTTCTGGCTCTTCTTAACACAATTGCGCTATTCTAAAATTGATCAAATTACCCACTTCGCGTTTCCTTGGCATTGTTCACTGTACAAAACACTCACAACTAGAATTAATGTATTTACCTAATAATTAAGAATGTTTCCCCTTTTAAATTGAGTTTATGTTCTATGGTAGCGTGAGTTTTTCAGTATGATGAGGTAGTAACTCATATTATATGCGATTTTTGGTATGTCGAACAGGATTTAAGAGGATAATACGCTCATCAATACGATATTACTAAATACGCTCACAAAATTTCATGAGAGTCGGTATAGCCGTTTCGGAGGAGTATGGTAATAAAAACTGTGACACGAAAATTTTATATATATTGATTTTATTTCAAGTAACAAAGAATTTAAGTAAGATAATCTATAGATGAAAGTTATAAATACTGGAGTACAACACGCCATCAAAGCTTTAGTTGAATTGCATATTTGACTTGAATAGGAGTATGCATATTTTTTAAATATTTTTTTAAGAATAATATAGTGTACAATATATTAAACTTCTAAAACAATTCTAAATCGTAAATAGGTTTATATTTTTTCAATGCTAAATAAAACTAGTTAATCTTCCTTTGAAAGACTTCCCAAATCACTTAAAAAGATTTCAGGAGATAATACGTGCGAAGAGCCCACCAATACTTCCCAATTGCGAACTGAATTGGTAACTTCGTAAGCACATCTCATTTCAGACATACTTACACCGCCAACAACAAATACGATAAGTCTGGGAACATTTTTGACTTGTGTCTGGCCTTTGTCTTTATGCCAGTGGCCGTATCGAGCACTCGTTGGCGCGTGGTAATTAGTATTTTGTGCTCGGCCTTCAAGAAAGGAAAATTACGCAAATCTAGCTTATCTTCTATGCAATCCTCCATGATGTCTTTTATTACTGGTGTCCAACGAGACATCTGATAGGTACTTTCTGTTATCCTTTCCTTTCGTGGAACAGAGTACAACTTTTTTCGTGACTGAAAAGAATAATTAACTAGCTTTTATTTGCGTTTAAAAAAATATGACTTTACTTACATCAGCAATGACATTAATTCCCAAATAACTCAGATTTCTGACCATATCCTGATCTTTAGCGGACAATTGGGCGTGTGTAAAGAGTTTAGTTAGATTTTCCTCCGAAATTCCATTTTTAATCATCACATAAAGAGCGATGATACGAACTTTGTCGTAGTTGGACACATTCTGTATAAAAATTTTATATGCATACGACATACCAAAAAATGTAAATCATACCAATGATTATAAAGTACACAGATGGGACAGGACATCTCATACAAAGAAAAATTTTCTATGGTGGGTTCCAGCGCTGGAACCCGCTGGAACGAACGGGTTCCACAGCGCGACAAGTTAAGTTTGAGAAATTTTTCGCGCGACAAAGAATGAGGAATAGCCGAGTGGTAGAGTGCTTGGCTGATGTGCAAAGTAAAACGAGTTCAAACCAGGCTCGGGACATCCATTTTTTACATTTTAAATCTATTTATATTATATTTTTATTCTTTTAATGTGTTTATTTAAATATAAATTCTATTAAAAAAATATACAAAATTTTAAAATCGCCTTAACATCGTCTCAGTTCGTAGTTGAACCCGCTTTAAAAATGTCTATAAGTGCGGGTTCTACGGCATTTTGGCAGGCCGCGTCGTGGAACCCGCTCTCAGATGTTTTCATTTTTTCCGTCGTGGAACCCGCTATAAAAATGAAAACATTTGAGAGCGGGTTCCACTACAAACGTCTGGCAGATTAAAGAGGGAAAGAGAGAATTATATTTTTAAATCGTAACATCTTTGGAACGATGAAAGTTTGAAACGTTCAAATCGAACCAGTGTGAGAGCAATGAGATCAGATATACCCTATACTATCCTTATTCTTCAGGTCTGTTTTTGGTATGGATTCTATCTAGGGCTTACTTTAAAACAGAGGTCGGCACGGCCCTATCCCCGAGGGCATAGAAAATTTCTCTGCCCGAGCTCTGCCACACACACACTGGAATGAATCACACGCTAGACGCAGGAATGAATCAGATATAAATGCTCGATGTTCCTGTTGTCGTTGTTGGTCATTTGTTCTGCGTCTATTGACTGTGAAACGACGTGATTGTCGTTGCTCTAATCTTCTGACATTGCGTTCAGCTCGTGTATCTTCTGGCTCTTCTTAACGCAATTGCGCTATTCTAAAATTGATCAAATTACCCACTTCGCGTTTCCTTGGCATTGTTCACTGTACAAAACACTCACAACTAGAATTAATGTATTTACCTAATAATTAAGAATTTTTCCCCTTTTAAATTGAGTTTATGTTCTATGGTAGCGTGAGTTTTTCAGTATGATGAGGTAGTAACTCACATTATATGCGATTTTTGGTATGTCGAACAGGATTTAAGAGGATAATACGCTCATCAATACGATATTACTAAATACGCTCACAAAATTTCATGAGAGTCGGTATAGCCGTTTCGGAGGAGTATGGTAATAAAAACTGTGACACGAAAATTTTATATATATTGATTTTATTTCAAGTAACAAAGAATTTAAGTAAGATAATCTATAGATGAAAGTTATAAATACTGGAGTACAACACGCCATCAAAGCTTTAGTTGAATTGCATATTTGACTTGAATAGGAGTATGCATATTTTTTAAATATTTTTTAAGAATAATATAGTGTACAATATATTAAACTTCTAAAACAATTCTAAATCGTAAATAGGTTTATATTTTTTCAATGCTAAATAAAACTAGTTAATCTTCCTTTGAAAGACTTCCCAAATCACTTTAAAAGATTTCAGGAGATAATACGTGCGAAGAGCCCACCAATACTTCCCAATTGCGAACTGAATTGGTAACTTCGTAAGCACATCTCATTTCAGACATACTTAAACCGCCAACAACAAATACGATAAGTCTGGGAACATTTTTGACTTGAGTCTGGCCTTTGTCTTTATGCCAGTGGCCGTATCGAGCACTCGTTGGCGCGTGGTAATTAGTATTTTGTGCTCGGTCTTCAAGAAAAGGAAAATGACGCAAATCTAGCTTATCTTCTATGCAATCCTCCATGATGTCTTTTATTACTGGTGTCCAACGAGACATCTGATAGGTACTTTCTGTTATCCTTTCCTTTCGTGGAACAGAGTACAACTTTTTCGTGACTGAAAAGAATAATTAACTAGCTTTTATTTGCGTTTAAAAAATATGACTTTACTTACATCAGCAATGACATTAATTCCCAAATAACTCAGATTTCTGACCATATCCTGATCTTTAGAGGACAACTGGGCGTGTGTAAAGAGTTTAGTTAGATTTTCCTCCGAAATTCCATTTTTAATCATCACATAAAGAGCGATGATACGAACTTTTTCGTAGTTGGACAAATTCTGTATACAAATTTTATATGCATACGACATACCAAAAAATGTATATCATACCAATGATTATAAAGTAAATAGATGGGACAGGACATCTCATACAAAGAAAAATTTTCTATGGCGGGTTCCAGCGCTGGAACCCGCTGGAACGAACGATATTTTTATTCTTTTAATGTGTTTATCTAAATTTAAAATCTATTAAAAAATAATACAAAATTTTAAAATCGCCTTAACATCGTCTCAGTTTGTAGTTGAACCCGCTTTAAAAATGTCTGTAAGTGCGGGTTCTACGGCATTTTGGCAGGCCGCGTCGTGGAACCCGCTCTCAGATGTTTTTATTTTTTCCGTCGTGGAACCCGCTATAAAAATGAAAACATTTGAGAGCGGGTTCCACTACAAACGTCTGGCAGATGAAAGAGGGAAAGAGAGAATTATATTTTTAAATCGTAACATCTTTGGAACGATGAAAGTTTGAAACGTTCAAATTGAACCAGTGTGAGAGCAATGAGATCAGATATACCCTATACTATCCTTATTCTTCAGGTCTGTTTTTGGTATGGATTCTATCTAGGGCTTACTTTAAAACAGAGGTCGGCACGGCCCTATCCCGAGGGCATAGAAAATTTCTCTGCCCGAGCTCTGCCACACACACACTGGAATGAATCACACGCTAGACGCAGGAATGAATCAGATATAAATGCTCGATGTTCCTGTTGTCGTTGTTGGTCATTTGTTCTGCGTCTATTGACTGTGAAACGACGTGATTGTCGTTGCTCTAATCTTCTGACATTGCGTTCAGCTCGTGTATCTTCTGGCTCTTCTTAACGCAATTGCGCTATTCTAAAATTGATCAAATTACCCACTTCGCGTTTCCTTGGCATTGTTCACTGTACAAAACACTCACAACTAGAATTAATGTATTTACCTAATAATTAAGAATTTTTCCCCTTTTAAATTGAGTTTATGTTCTATGGTAGCGTGAGTTTTTCAGTATGATGAGGTAGTAACTCACATTATATGCGATTTTTGGTATGTCGAACAGGATTTAAGAGGATAATACGCTCATCAATACGATATTACTAAATACGCTCACAAAATTTCATGAGAGTCGGTATAGCCGTTTCGGAGGAGTATGGTAATAAAAACTGTGACACGAAAATTTTATATATATTGATTTTATTTCAAGTAACAAAGAATTTAAGTAAGATAATCTATAGATGAAAGTTATAAATACTGGAGTACAACACGCCATCAAAGCTTTAGTTGAATTGCATATTTGACTTGAATAGGAGTATGCATATTTTTTAAATATTTTTTTAAGAATAATATAGTGTACAATATATTAAACTTCTAAAACAATTCTAAATCGTAAATAGGTTTATATTTTTTCAATGCTAAATAAAACTAGTTAATCTTCCTTTGAAAGACTTCCCAAATCACTTAAAAAGATTTCAGGAGATAATACGTGCGAAGAGCCCACCAATACTTCCCAATTGCGAACTGAATTGGTAACTTCGTAAGCACATCTCATTTCAGACATACTTACACCGCCAACAACAAATACGATAAGTCTGGGAACATTTTTGACTTGTGTCTGGCCTTTGTCTTTATGCCAGTGGCCGTATCGAGCACTCGTTGGCGCGTGGTAATTAGTATTTTGTGCTCGGCCTTCAAGAAAAGGAAAATGACGCAAATCTAGCTTATCTTCTATGCAATCCTCCATGATGTCTTTTATTACTGGTGTCCAACGAGACATCTGATAGGTACTTTCTGTTATCCTTTCCTTTCGTGGAACAGAGTACAACTTTTTTCGTGACTGAAAAGAATAATTAACTAGCTTTTATTTGCGTTTAAAAAAATATGACTTTACTTACATCAGCAATGACATTAATTCCCAAATAACTCAGATTTCTGACCATATCCTGATCTTTAGCGGACAATTGGGCGTGTGTAAAGAGTTTAGTTAGATTTTCCTCCGAAATTCCATTTTTAATCATCACATAAAGAGCGATGATACGAACTTTGTCGTAGTTGGACACATTCTGTATAAAAATTTTATATGCATACGACATACCAAAAAATGTAAATCATACCAATGATTATAAAGTACACAGATGGGACAGGACATCTCATACAAAGAAAAATTTTCTATGGTGGGTTCCAGCGCTGGAACCCGCTGGAACGAACGGGTTCCACAGCGCGACAAGTTAAGTTTGAGAAATTTTTCGCGCGACAAAGAATGAGGAATAGCCGAGTGGTAGAGTGCTTGGCTGATGTGCAAAGTAAAACGAGTTCAAACCAGGCTCGGGACATCCATTTTTTTACATTTTAAATCTATTTATATTATATTTTTATTCTTTTAATGTGTTTATTTAAATATAAATTCTATTAAAAAAAAATACAAAATTTTAAAATCGCCTTAACATCGTCTCAGTTCGTAGTTGAACCCGCTTTAAAAATGTCTATAAGTGCGGGTTCTACGGCATTTTGGCAGGCCGCGTCGTGGAACCCGCTCTCAGATGTTTTCATTTTTTCCGTCGTGGAACCCGCTATAAAAATGAAAAATGAAAATTTGAGAGCGGGTTCCACTACAAACGGCTGGCAGATGAGAGAGGGAAAGAGAGAATTATATTTTTAGACCGTAACATCTTTGGAACGATGAAAGTTTGAAACGTTCAAATCGAACCAGTGTGAGAGCAATGAGATCAGATATACCTTCTACTGTCTGTTTTTGGTATGGATTCTATCTAGGGCTTGCTTTAAAACAGAGGTCGGCACGTCCCTATCCCGAGGGCATAGGAAATTTCTCTGCCCGAGCTCTGCCACACACACACAGTGTAAATGTGTGAAACGTCATGCTCACAGCCTTTTTTCTGCTATTCGAAACTAACACTAATGCTTTAAAATCATATCAATGTATTGGGGTGCCGACCACTGCTTTAAAACCAATTTTAAGTATCGTCAAATCAACTTAGAGGGTAGCCTAGATGAAAGGTGCGCGCTTCTTATTCTTGGGGTCCTGGCTTCGATTTCATAAGTGGACGGTTATTTCAATTTTTACAAAGTTTGAGTTTTATGATTATTTTTATATTTACTTTTATTTTTTTATTTTTTTTTTTTTTACTTTGCATATATACTTTATTATTGTTATTTTAAATTGCATTTTATTACAATTGTTGTAAATAAGGGACGGACGTGTCGGATGGCAAATGCCGGACTCCCTTGAACTTTATTAGCCGGACATAATGAAAAATGAAACAATCTTACGACTGTAAAATTAAAGAAAAATATTACATTTAAAAAAAAAATAACAATTATAAAAGAAAGAAAAAAGTCCTTACTAGGATTTGAAAATAGAAAAATTATACATAGAGCAACTACTCTATGCATAACGCTACCACCCTGTTTTGATATACAGCGATTAAAAATACTATTTGTTCTACTAACTACCAAAACATTTTTATGCCGTCGTGCGAGCAGTCACACATACATATGTACAAAGGCTCACATTTTTATTGACGGATACATGTAAAGAGTTCTAAAAATAGAACCGTATGCATGTGCGTTCCCCCCACCAACAAACTCGACGAAAAAAGTTGACCGTTTTGGGCCCTGATGTCCCATCTATGGTCTTTATAAACTTTTATCATACTTACCGCATCTAACAAAATGGGCACAATATTTCGCATATGATCCTTAATCTTCTCTCCTTCAGCATCGGTGCCCATAGCTAAATCTTGCTCCACACGACAAAGCTTATCGACATAGTTTTGGTACGATTTCATGCAGTCCTCTGCCAAATGTAAATGAGTAGAATATTTAGATAGCTCTTTCTGATACTGTGGCATCTTTTTTATCATTTGGGATAAATCTCGCATTGACGACTTATCAGCTGCATAAAATAAATCGAAAAATTACACATTATATGTTATACAATTTTTTTTCTAGATATTGACATACTGGAGCTCATCCGCTTTGAATCAGTAAATTTTTTCAAATTTTGAGTAACCTGTGTTGACACGACTGCGATGTGTTCATGGCGTAACTCAACCCACAAATCATCGTTTTCATCCAACAACACCTCTTTGTCTGGCTGGTTAGGTCCTGGTGTATAACGGTAAACGTCATTGACAATTGGAAGTAAATCATAAGCCATAGCTTGCAAAGTTAACTCATGAAGGAGAGGTGAAACACAATCAAAACCACGATCCAAAATTAGTAATTGTGACCGAGCCTTTTCTGGGCCCTCACCCATCGTTGGTTCATCTGCTTTATACGCGTCCAACTTTTGCTGCACTGATGCAGCTAAATCAATGTTTCGGTCCCAGTCACTACGATAGCGCACATTGGGGTATTCACCCAAAGTGGCACATAAAGTTGCAATTTGTTCGGCAATGCGTTCAATATGCTTGCCACGTATAGAAGCAAATGCTGGAGAATATAAGCACTGAAATGTGTCCGGAGAATCCAACGAGTAGACCTAAATAATTTATTATATTACAATTAGTTATCATTGTCAATAAAAGTAGGAATCACTTTTTAATCCATTAGATATTATAAGTAAAATTTTTACATTTATCTCGTTAAACAAAAAAAAATAGTAATGACAATAATAGTCTGTTTTCGTTAGCTTGAATTCAATAGCTATATAAGTGAGTAATTTACATTCTTTGTTATTTATAAGACAAAACTAGCCACAACTCAAACACAAAAATAAATTATGAAAAAAATTATATTTTTTAAAATGCAACTTTTTTAACTTTCCATTTGTTATTTATTCTAATGCGTACCTACATTTCGACAATTATACGATTTTTTTTATTTTTTTTTTAACTTTTAAAGATCAATTACAAATTGAGTATAAGAAAAATAAATTGAATATATGTATATTCAATGGTTGTGTTTAGTATTTTTGTTTATATTGCAGTTTAATAAGTTTTTTTATTTTTTATCAGTTTGTATAATATTTTTATATGTTTATTTTTATATTTATATGTTTTATATATTTTTATTTTAAAAACAAAATATATCAAGGGTATGGATGGGTGTGGCACATTGTCCAATATATATGTATACTTTATAGTCAGAAAATGACTTGGAAAATGCCTTTCAAATTATTCAATTATATTTGTTTCAACTTTTTGATTTTTTTCAACGAAGAATGAAAAAGGCGCAACTGTGCAAATATTATATATGCATCTTAAAATGTTTAAAGGTGCTGCGAAAATATTTATACATGAACGGACTTCATAAAAATAGCCTCTACTTAAGTGACTAATGCATTCAACTTATTAGTGTAAATACTCCTTAACTCGCAGTTAACTCATCATTGGATTTTTAACTCTTGTTGGGAATCATCCTTTATAATATCCGCATTTCTTCTAGTCCAAATTACGTATTTCCATTATAGCCAAAATGGCTCAAGCCATTTATAGATCTTGAAATCACAGTTTCACTAATATCGTGCCTACCGTAGTTGTCACATAACAAGTTTTGGCTTTTAAAAACAATCTTAAACGGAATATTTTGTTTTACTTATCCAGCTAAAGCTTATTTTTTTCAAAACTTAATGTCTTTTAAGGAAAAAGTTTGAACTACACATAATATACATACTCTCGCCATGTAAGCAGCAAATTATGTTTGAAAACAGAAAAACAATTTCCGCATGCGGAAAAGGACTAGTTTAGTTCGTCTACATATAAGTTTGTCAAAACAGTCTTGTATTTTTATTCTTCAATATTAGGGCAAAGGCAAAAATTTATATTAAGCCGACAATAACATTTGGATCTTCTATGAGAGACATAATGAAGTTAAAATCTGGTTGGAAACAAATGATCGAACAGAACAAAACGGCAAAACCACTTGTATAAACAACTAAACATTCAATAAAAATACAACAGAACTTTTTTGATACCCTTATATTTACAAGTCACTCCACGTGGTACATCCTTAAAATTTGGCATTAGCAAATCCACATTAGGAGCCAACGCCTCTGTAGAATTAAAAGATACTGGGGAGCGTTCAGCCGCCCAAGAGGTTCTTTGAAAGCGTTTTACTTTAAGCACGGTGTTTAAAATAGGCACGCACTATAACTAAAAAACAATTTCATTATTGAAATGTTTATCAAAGCTTAAGGCTACGAAAAACTGAGAAAGACACGGTTGTTACGCACTTAATAAAGTTTAACGCAAAATTTTTTTATTTAATTAAATAATTTTTTCTTTTATATTTTAGTCTCCTAATCATCGCCTCTCACCTCGCCTCGCCGTTGGTTAATTATCTATTACTTATTATCTATCTATGTAAAAAACTTAACTTTGATCTAAGATTTCAGTACCTTTCTTATTTATTTTTGTTTACTTAAAATTTTTTTATTTAAAATTTATGTTATTAAAATGTACTATTTTATTTAATTAAAACATCTTATGGTTTTTTCACATCATTTTTTGGTTTACAAATTCAAAAACAAGAATAAAGCCTATTCACCATAAACCAATGGGTAAATACAAATTGTAATGCTATCGAGCTTATTAATATTTATTTCTTTGCAATTTCCTAAGGTACAATCTTTAACTTAAAAAATATATATATATATATGTATATTTATTCGTACTATATTTAATATTAGCCAAATGTTTTAAAGAATTAAAAATTTTAAAGTCTTTAAATATTTTTTTTTAATTGGCCTCTGAAAGCGGCACGCACATAAATTCATAAATTCCTCATATTTTAGTTTCAATTGGTACAAAATGTTTCCAAACTTGGGAATAATCTAGAATAATTCGTACCCAATAAGGGGTTTAAATGCTTATCTACATTTTTTTATTTGAATATTGAGCTATATTTGTTATCAGGTTTTTCTTAAGTTTAAAATTTTGTTATATTTTTTTATTATATTCGTACAATAATGCCTGTTCCGTAAAAAGGAATTAAATTTGTATTATTATTATAAAGACAAATAAATGATGAACCTTATTATGTGCATTTAGCATAGAGCTTATAAAGTGGCAAATGTTCCCAAGTTAAATGCTAGTATATGTTAATAGTATAAGAAAATACTAAACAAATTCTTTTTTCGCCATTCTTTTTTTATATACATATATATACCAGAGACCTGCATTGAGTATGATCGAGTCGGTTCGATCAGCCTCGATCAAACCCTTCACAACTCAAAAAGTTGTTCGCTACAAAATTGTTCGATCGATCTTCGTGCACAAAACAAACAGTTCGTACAATTGATTTGATTGCTCTGCTTACTGATTCAAACTGATTTTTGCATACCGGTTTGATAATCGGAAATGATTGTACAGAAAAAGACGATCAAGTCCAACGATGCAAACGAAAGCTCAGACATCTATCAAGTTGCGTTTGATTTGATTGTGAGTTAGAGGTCTGCATGATTGCACTCAAAATTTTCGGTTATTTGAGTACAATAAGTTTAAGTCTCAATTGAGCGTGCCAAACCGTTTCAACAAAGTGAATTGCGGATTGGTAAGGGTTGTTTTCGTTGTATGCGAAATGAGTGAATATCAAACCAATGTGGAATGGATAGAATGAGTGAATGCAGAGTAAATGCTTTGAGTACTCGGATAAAATTTTGGCATTCTCGTCATTCATGGCAGTTAGAGCAGAAGCTAAAACTATTTGCACAATACCTGCAAGCAGCTCGGCAAGCAGGTAGCAAGCAGCTACCTGCAAAGAGCCTTTTCAGATGCTAGAAATTTAATTTCTGAAAAGCGATGTATTATTGCTAAAAATGCAGATACAATAAAAAAAATTATGTTTTTGCATTCTGTTATGAAAAATTAAATAAATGACATACATATGTATATATAATAATTAATCCATGCCTTTCTATTTTTCTATTTCTTGTATTGAAAAGCAACACAAAAACAAAAACAAAAAATAAATTTGACGTCACAAATGCGACGCACAACTAACCGAGTACTCGGTTACAAAACTCATTTGGTTATTGCGTCGCCGTTCGGATAGAGTAAATTTTTTACTCATGCCTTTACCACATTTGCCAAATCCGTTTTACTCAATGTCTCACTCAGTCAGTCAGAACTTTGATTGAGAGTGCCAAATGCTGCTTTGACTGTATTCATGCAGACCTCTATTGTGAGTGATGCAATCAGATCGAGAATTGCCCTGTGAATATGTGAATGTGTGTGTAGTTTGTATGTACAAATTTGTATGTTGTAACGGAAAAACGTTGCGATGCGTAAAATTAACTAAAAAATCACTTTATTTATTTCTTCAGTTTTAACGCTTAAAATTAAAATTCAAATATTGCTGATGATGAAATAAGTAGATCGGGATGAATCGAACCACCCGGTATGACCAAACGGTATGAGCGTGATCGATCTGAATGCAAGCAGCGTTCTCAATCATTCTTTGCTGCTCACACAAAGCGTTCGATCAAAGAACATCATTATGAACCAGGCATGAGTGATTGGAACTGAATGTTCGATTTGAACACGCTTGCTTACGATCAATTCATGTTCGTTGAAGCAATGTTTTGCGTCACAAAAAATCCGAGTCAACGATCGGGTATGATTGACAAAATTTTGATCGTTGCAGCTCTCTGATATATACCTTTCTTGTTTATTTTTGTTACATATATATATAACAATATGTATATATATTTTGTAATATGTAAAAAGGTATTAATAAGATTACAAAAACATTTTTTTTTGATAATATTTGAAAAAAAAATTTGGTGCCGGTACATGTGTGAAAGATTTTCTTGGCAGCAGAACTTGCGCAAATGTATATACATATATTGGAACTGATATATACATCTTCTTTTTTATTTCTTATATTGAGCCCCTTTTCCGAAAATAACGGAAGCGCCAATTTTCGGAACCATTTTTTTAATGTAAATTTGTACATATATAATTACCAACCGCATTTGAAATTGCATCTATTACTGAGATATCAAGCGTCCAACGCCATTTGTAGTGCTCGCGAAAATACCGCGAAAAACCTCTCTCCTGTAAAATGTGATTTTTGGCGCTTACGTTATTTTTGCAAAAAGGGTATATGCATATATAGGCTATACACCAAATGGGTGTTATGGTTTCAAAACAATTATTTAGTTTATTTCAGCCATTATTATTAGATCATTAGTTCGAAAATTTGATACCACACTTTGTTATTTTGTTGAACAACAACTTATTTCGAGCGTTAAATTTCTTTGGAACATTAATCATTATTACAATTAAATGTAACAACTTTTATTAAATAAAGTTATCAGAAAAACTTTATACTAGTTCAAATGAAGAATTACAATTTGTATTCAAAACTTCTTTATAAGAAATTAATTGAAATATGAAGTTATAGTTCGATTTGTTTTTATGTATATTTCTTATACATTACATCCCAGTTTCTCAATGTAAAGTTAAGGTCGTAATGCGAGTCACCAAAATAAGTTAAATTTATATAAAAAATGGAATGAAAACCCACTTTGCATGTGTGGTTACCTAACTGGATTATTTTAACTCCATATTGAGAAACTGATGTTAAATTGAACACTACAAAAAAAACGACGCAAAACTTGAGGAGATGTTTTTGAAGCCAAACTAATTTTTTTTTGTAATTTTGTTTTTGTATAATAATAACAATAATAATTATAAAAAAAAAAAAAAAGGAAAGCTAAATTTATGTATATATATATAAAGAAATATCTCAAAAATCGGATATAGTCGGCCGATCCTTAAGAAATTCGGCAAGACGTTATACCATTTAAAGTTATACCATTTCCGATCGTTCAGTTATGTGGCAGCTATAGGATATAGTTGGCCGAACCCGGCTGTTCCGATTTATATACTGCGCGCAATGTTAGGAAAGATGTGTGCAAAGCTTTAAAACTGAAAAATTAGTTCACTTGGGAACAGATAGACGAACAGGCTTTAATCGACTTATAAGTCATCCTGATCTAAAATATATCAACGCATTTCCGGGTAAGTAACGTATGAGGACTAATTTTATATTAAAACGTAAAAAAATGTTTTTTAATAAATATTGAATTTTATAAATACTTTACAAGAAACTTGCTTCGAAATTTTTATTTATAAAATTTTTTTAAGTATTGAGAAAAAAAAAATTTTGGTAGATCAGTATTTTAGGTAAGTTATGCCCAATACTCATAACTTCCACACATAAGTTTAAAGGTATGGACTCTCAGCAAAAAAAAAATTTTGTTGCATAATTTATTGCTCGTGGAAACAAGAAGCTATTAAGTTGGGAAGCAGAATAATTTGTAGGTACGGCTTAGGCATTGGAAAAGTTTGGCATCAAAGCTCTTTCCAAAAAAAATTGTTTGAACTGGCGCTACAACAAGATTTCCGTTTTAGGGGCTTCCTGTACTGAAGCTACAAAAATATAGGGGCGGGAGGGGGCGTGGAAAAAATTTGAAACAAACTTGAACTGCGTGGGTATTATAGAAGTGGTACTCTGCTCGGTATTTTGTTATACCCATGTGGAGGGTATTATAATTTTGGTCAAAAGTGTGCAACGCAGTGAAGGAGACATCTCCGACCCTACAAAGTATATATATTCTTGATCAGGATCACCTCCTGAGTTGATATGAGCATGTCCGTCTGTCTGTCTGTTTCTACGCAAACTAGTCTCTCAGTTTTAAAGCTATCGACTTGAAACTTTGCACACACCCTTCTTTCCTTTGCACGCAGTATATAAGTCGGAACGACCGGGATCGACCGACTATATCCTATAGCTGCCATATAACTGATTGATTGGATAGCTGCCATATAACTGATTGATCGGATTTGGTATAACTTTGGTGTTTTTAGAGTTAGAGAGTTCAAATTTGACATGAAAGCTATTTTTGGCAACATTTGACATTATGACATGCCAAATTTCATAAGGATCGGCCGACTATATTCTATAGCTGCCATATAACTGAACGATCGGAAATGACCCAACTTTCGTGTTTTTGAAGATAGAAAGCTGGAACGTGGTACAGATTATATTTTTGGTCAGTTAATCCGACCTACCAAATTTTATAACGACTGGCCGACTATATCCTACAGCTGCCATATAACTGAACGATCGGAAATTTTTTTTGGTAGAAATACCAACTTTGGTATTTTTGAAGATAGAAGTTTGGGACTTTTTTTTAGACTTTATATTATAATAAATTGGGTTATATTATATAATTGGGTTATATATTCTCATAAGAATCGGCCAACAATATCCGATGTTTGCGATATATACCCGCTTTTAACTGCAGGGGTATATCAACGTCGGCTCCGCCCGAAGCTAGCTTTCCTTTCTTGTTTTTTTTTCATGCGCCCTTTGCGCAGGTCATGGTCAGGTCAAAATTTTTCAAATAAATATTATTTTGAGTTTCACACTTTTCATGCGATACATGTACATACATATGTATATGTATAAAAAGATAAAATCCTATATATTTATCAGTGGCGGATTTAACAGGTGGGCAAAGGCGCGCTTGCCCACTGGGCCCCCCCCCCCGACGAAAGGCTTTCAGGGCCCCTCTTGCTGAAAGTTACACCTGCGATTTCTTATTTATTTTTTTGTTGAAAAAATGATTCTGTGAGTCTCTTGTGGACAGCACAAGTTAAATTTTCATTCAGGGGCCCCCTGTTATCAGAATAATTGCAATGCTTGATAACTATCGTAAATTGAATATAAAATCCAAAAACTTTTGGGTGCCATCCTAGAATACGATCCCAGCGTATTTTCGGAAATTTTTGGTATTTTTGGCCAAATTTGGGGTTGATTGAAAGGGGAAAGCCTGAGCTAACGACGTAGGCCCAAAAAAACCGATTGCGATCATTCCTTACCTTGTAATTTACGGTTATGTCCGGCAATGTCGGGGGTAATTTTTTCCCATATTACGGCGTCGATATTAAACGTTTTGTAAGGTTTTCCGACAGGAAAAGCACCTCGACGGCAAGAACCAATCTCAATGATTTCATTTATCACTTTACTCATTTATTGCCGGGGCAAAAACGAGAAATATCCAACTTTTTTTACAACTGCCTTGAAGTATGAGTTAATCAGTTTTGCGGATATATATATCTCACAAGAACAAGATTTTACCAAGCATAGTCCATTGCAATATTTTAACTTCATCGTTGAAAAAAATTGGATCAGCAGTTTCCCGGAGTGCTGCACTGCCAGTGCCGAACGAACAATGAGTTCATTGAAGAGAGTCAAAGATTGGCAACGTTCCACAATGAGTGCAGAAGCATGATACGATTTGGGGCCCTGAAAAAATTTTGACCACTGGGCCTTTTTCCTTTAATCCGCCACTGATCTTTATCTTTTATAAACTCTGAGATCAAGGCGTTCATACGGACAAAGGTACAAACGGTTGATGTTGATGCTGATAAAAAATATATATACTTTAAGGGGTCAGTAATGATTTCTTTTCTATGGTACAATACAACCTTTGTACTTAACGAGTAACGGGTATAAAACTCATTATTTTCGAAATTATTTTTTCTTTCAATACAATAAAAAAGTCGGTAAGTCAAAAGATCTCCTGTTCATCATGTATGCATGTTTGTCTTTCAGATTAACAGATATCGGTCTTAAATTTTGCACACAACAGTCTTAAAGTGGTACTCTGCTCGGTATTTTGTTTTTTGCTCGCGCCCCTTGCCCAGGTCGTAGTCAGGTCAAAATATTAAAAAAAAATATTTTTTTTAGATGTACACTTTTCATACAATACGTACATGTACATATGTATATTTATAAAAATTTGAAATTTTTTATTATCATTCAAGACCTTCACCAATGATTATATATATTTAATTTAAAAGACAGCTAAGAACCATAAATTTTTTTTTTTTTATCATTCAAGACTTTCACCAATGATTATATATATTTAGTTTAAAAGACAGCTAAGAACCATAAAATTAAGTTATTATATATATCGTAAATTCATTCAATTCAATTGTTTAATTGATTCTCACTTTATTAGTTTAAATTATATTATTAAAGTCGCACCTGGCATTCGTAAGGAAGAAATGCGATATTTATCTCCTTTAGAGTTTTGATCTTTCTTGCAGCGCACGATTTACACAAATCGTTAAATAATTCCTCTGGGCAAACTATAATTATACGCACATTGAAATTTTATGAATCAATACAAATATGGTTACAACAGAATTTAAATTAATCTATCTTTTTAAAGACTTATTCTAGAAACTTTCACACATGTATTGAGTCCGAAGTTATATATATTTTTATATCCTTTTGCTCCTGAAAAAATCGATTAAATAGCACTGAAACCTGAAATAAATCAATCTAAAAATTTGATTACAAATTCATTTTCGATAATACTAATTAGTAAAATTATAAACATATAAATTATAAAATTTAAAAAACGAATCGACGGATATAATCGAGCTTCCCGACTATATTATACCTGGAACTCATCTCTTTCATGCAAACTTTAACTAACCTTTTAAGTTTAAACTTCAGGAGTATGTAGGGAAGCCTACAGAATCCTCTAAAAATTTTCCGATTTGGCTGAACTTTGATTTTTAGATTGTGTAGATTTGTGAGGGCGGAAAGGGGTTTGCCAAACAATTTGAAACAGACCTGAACTGCGTGGGCATTATAGGAGTATCCATTCCAAATCCTATAGCTTTATCTCTTCTAGTCTCTAAGAACCACGCGATCAGACAGACAGACACGGCATTACAGACTCGGCTGTTGATGCTGATTAATTATATACAATATACATTATTGACTCAGAGATGATTTCTTCTCTATGTTACATAGTACTACGAGTACGAGTGCTACATAGTACTACTCTACGGGTACCGGGTATTAACACCAAAGTTGTGGTACTTCCGATTAATCATTATATGGCGGCAGCTTATGACTATATGCTAGTCGGCTGATCTCGGCCGTTCTGACATATATAATGCGTGCAAAGTTTCAAGTCGATAGCTTTAAAACTGGGAGACTATTTCGCACAGAAACAAACAGACAAAACGACAGACAGACAAACAGACCGCCGACATGCTTATATCAACTGAGGAGGTGAATCTTATCAAGATTATATATACTTTACAGAGTCGAAGATGATCAATCCTTGCGTTTCCCACTTTTGACTGCTTTGCAAGGGTATAAAAATGTCGACAGCCAAGCCTAAACAGTATATGGTATATATGTACATGTATAAAAACTAAATTAGAGGCAAAAGAAAAATATGAATACCAAAAAATATACTCTACAAAAACTGTAACCCAACAATTCAAATTATTTTTTATAATTAAAATTATAAGCTATTTTTTATTAATATTTGTAGATTTGGCATTCTGGTTTCCTATTTCGGTGGTAAAAAAAACTGTCAAAAACTGCCACTACTAAATCCACTACTAAATTAGTATTAGCATTTTTTATTGTAAATTTGGTAAAAAGTGTTTTTCATTTTAAATTTTTTTAAATTGTTAAATTTTTTTTTAGCTTCGTAACCTATCAAGATTTTAAAGTTTTTTTTTAGCCCTATCCCCAGACACACCCCATCCCTAAGTTGATTAATATTCAAACAAACCGTGTGATCGTGAACGTGTACATGAACTGCCCACCATAAGGGTTATGTGTTAGTTTAACCATTGGATTCATATTCCCATAAGGATCGGCCAACTACATCCGTTTTCCTTTCTTGTTTTATTTTGATTTGTCTGGCAAAAATTATGACGTTATGACATACATAGCTAATAGAAAAATAATTCCTATAGTACTCATATATAAAAATAGATATTTAAATTATACATAACAGTATAGACAAGATAGGACGGCTATAGTCGAGTTTCCCGACCATATAATTTTATATAAAATAACTAACCTTTAGTTTAAACTTTAACGGTATGAATTTTCAGCAACACATTTTTGTTGCATACTTTTGCGCTTTGGCAAAACAACAAAAACAAACCCACTGGCCATACTACCGATTCGTATTAAATCTATTAAAATATATTAAAATCTCTTAATTCTTTTCGTCTTTCATTTAAAGTTTGGTATTAGTCCCAATTGTGACTCTGAACTTTGAAAATTTACTTCTGTAAATTTAAAAACAGTAATAAATTAAATATAATAATATTAATTCTACATTACTACATCACATCATAAAATTGTTCATCTCATTATAAACAATTTAGATAAAGAAAGCTATTGAAAAAAAGTTGTCGCAATCATACCCTCTGTAAAGAAAACGTGCGCAAAGCGGTACATAGGGCGCGCTGGATTTTCAAAATCGCGTATTAACGCACGAACACTCTCATCGGAAGGAGTTATCAAATAAATGGCATCCATAGTAGGTAACGGCTCACGTTTTTTGTTAATATCTTCTACCACTAAAATAAAAGTATCACATATTACGTTCAACAATAGTTTTTATTAACTTACATGTTATTCCTTCAGCACTTATCTCATGCATTTTAGTGCAAGCCGAGACCATGCGCATGCCAAGCTTATCTACAACTAGAACTCGCCATTCTATTCCACCGGGTCCCGTTTTAGGCGTTGCTGACGAGCCTTGTTTTTTTACTACTGTTGGTTTATACTTTACTACCTCGTTCATTATCTCTAAAAATGTTTAGAGAAAATTGTATTAAAAATTTCAGTTTTTTGTTCCTGTATGTATGTACTGACTAGACAATGATAATAAAGTAAAGGGTCAGATTAAATACAGCCTTAAAAATAGAGACTAAAGAATAAAGGATTTAATTTTCTAGTCTTTTTTTTAATTCTCATTATTGCTGGGTGAGGTTATGTAGGAAAACGAGACCCAGTATCTTTCTACGATTTGTAAGGGGGAGTAATTTTATTAGTAAGAGTGTGCTTTGATAAGAAAGAAGGTGAAGATTTGCATCGCGGTTGAGCCCATTAGACCAGGGTTGAAGAACGAAGAACGCAAAGCAAAGTAAGAGTGTATTGGTGAGAGAAACGATCACCTGCACTGACCGCATCGCAGCGTTCGCTGGGTATGAAATTATTTAGCTTGTTAAAAAAATATATATATAATACAAATTTATCTTTTTTCTATTTCTTTTAAAAGATTTGTCTCATAATCCATTAAAACAAAAAGTTTCGGTAAAGCAGAAAGTCTAATTCTGTCTTGTAAATTCTAACTGTTGCCATTATATTTCAAACTTATATGGGCTATTCCTGGGGTCGCGAACGTACGTTCGTACGCAATAAGTGCCAAAAAATTAAAGAAAAACACATTTTCTGAAACTTTTTTTTTTTGTTTCCGATATCACCTGGATCATGGATCTAATGGATTTTTCATTTTCATAATATCAAGTCGATAGCTTTAAAACTGAGAGACTAGTTCGCGTAGAAACAGACATGCTTACATGAACTCAGGAGGTGTTCCTGATCAAGAATATACATATATACTGCGTTGCACACTTTTGATCAAAACTGTAATACCCTATGCAAGGGTATAAAAATAAAAAACAGAAAAGAGCCGTCATCGTCATGAGGTTTTAAATTCTAAGAGAATATAGACCGACTTTTGATGCGTTAGTTCAAAACATTTGTATGTACAGTGCCGAGCACATGTTTGTCACTTCTGACATCAAGCTGTTGTAAATTCCGTAAAAATGAATAAATGATTTTTGTTTTCCAGTAATTTTTATTAATATCTACTAGATATAAAAATAACTAATATTTAACCCTTTATATGGCATCAACTCCGATTTTGATGCAGTTTTCGTTATTAGATAGATACGTAAAAATAAAAAATACTCTTTTTTTTCGTTTTCCCAATTTTTGAATTTTTACCCTTTTATTAAGGATAAACGGTATGTTGCATAAATACATAAAATACGCTTGGGTTCAGTAACATCATCAAATAAGCAGTAACATCATCAAATAACTGCTCATCAAATAAGCAGATTGATGTATATCTGTAACATAACGAAACTCACTATTTTCACGTAACACTTAACACATAACATAATAACTTGACTGCATATGCGTTATAAACAAAAATACCTTTTCAACTGTGCAGTTTTGTTTAGAAAAATAACTTGTATTTTAGGAAATATTTGTAATACAAAGTGTGGAACGGAGGTCACGAGAGTGCTTCACAAAAATTGGCGGGAAAAGTAAACATATGTTGTGAAAACACATAGTTGAGTATGACCATGTCTTACAATTAAAACAAGAAAGGAAAGCTAACTTCGGGCGGAGCCGAAGTTTATATACCCTTGCAGTTAAAACCGGATATGTATCGCAAACATCGGATATAGTTGGCCGATCCGATCAGTTAAGCAGATGCGAAAATAAACTTTGGTACTCCTTTTGGGTACGACGGTCGGACCACCACAAAGCGCAAACGAACATTTTCGCTGCTTTTTGGTGCCAGAAGCAGATAAACAGTACCAAGCAGATTGGGAAAAACTGTTTTTTGTTATTTCGTTTCTTATTCTTCTCTTTTTTTGATTTTTGCTTCAGTATAACTTGAGCATATTTTGTCACGCGACGTGAAAGTGTGGTAAATATTAAATAAATAATGAAAACACAAAATAAATATTAAAAACAGTGACAGTGAATCAGTGATAAACAAAGGATTAAAAAGGTAATAATTATAATTATGGTTGGCAAAAGGCAACTAGGTAGACTCAAAAAAACAAGAAAAAGACAAATATGCAGGGCGACTAAGGCAAAGTGCCCGACGAAGACGAGGACAAATAAATGAAGAAAATAGTGAAGAAATAGAACAAATTAAACTGACAATAAACAATGACAATAACAATGTAGTTAATATTGAAATGAAACTTGCAGACTGACGAACCCAATGACATTTTAAACCAAAATTTAAAAACGTGGTTTATTAAGCATAAGCCTAAGCGTGACTGTGTGTTAGATTTAATTAAAGTTCTAAAGACAAGTAACATCAATGTTGACGGCTTTTACAAATTTAATTGTAGTTCTAAGCCACAAATAAACCGAATTAGTGGTGGAAATTATTTAAATATTGGTGTTGCTCGTCAAATAAAAAAAGTTCTTAATGTAGTTGATTGTACAAGTGATTTAAGTGTTGATTTTAATATTGATGCCTTAATATTGATTGCCTTTATTTAAAAGCTCAAGCACGCAACTTTGGCCTATTTTGTGTAATAATTAAAATTAATTTTAAAAATTCACATGTTTTGCCAGTACGAGTGTTTTTAGGAGAAAAAAAAACCAGACAGTTTGGATGAATTTTTAGGATTTCTAGTAGATGAATCGAACGATATTTTAAAAAATGGAATAGACACAATGGTAAACATATTAAAATAAAAATTCGGGGATTTATTTGTGATGCACCTGCGAGAGCCTTCATTAGCGGTGCTCCTGGACACACTGCTTCTGATGGCTGCGCAAAATGTACACAAAAAGCGCGAAAAATTTACCATATCTTAACATACAGATTAGTAGCGGAAGACATTATTACCGATGCGGATTTTTCGAGTAGAAAATATCCCTTGCATAACACTCCTCAATTTCAGAATAAAAAAAACTCCTTTAGAGCGAATCAATCTACAGATGGTATCGCAAATACATACCTCTAGATTGTATGCATCTAATGGATTTAGGAGTTGAGATAATTTTTGATTCGTTTAATAGAAAATAAAATGCGTGTAAATATAAATAACGAAAGGAAGCAAAATATATCAAAATCCTTGGTTTCTCTGAGAAAACATGTTCCAAAAGAGTTCCAGAGAAAACCAAGAGAATTGTCAGAAATTTCGTATTGGAAAGCAACTGAATTTCGTCAATTTGTTTTGTATACTGGTAAATTTGTTTTAAAAACCGAAATTCCGTCTGATCATTATTATGTCTTCCTGTTACTTCATTGTGCGTATAGATTGTTATGTTCCGCAAAGTATAGTCCGTCCAACTTAGGTATGTGTCAAAATATGCTCGAGCTCTTTGTCCAAAATTTACCAGCCATTTTTGGAGACAACAGTGTAAGCTATAATGTGCACAGCTTGCTTCACAAGACACTGTTGATCTGGTGGGAGATCCCGTAGAAAGCTCAGCATATAAGTTTGAAAACTATTTACAAACGTTGAAACGTTGTATACGCAAGCCTACAAAAATTCTGCAACAAATTCAAAGAAAAATTGAGGAAGACTTAATTGAGTCTTTCACTGAGGATTATGGGCCCAAAATAAAATTACAGAATTACATTGCATTTAAGGGGTTTACAACAACAAACACATCACCAAATAATTATTGTTACATAAAAGACAATACACCAGTTATTGTAACAAAAATTTCAACCGAGAATGGGGGAGGTTTTACTGGACGAAAATTGCAAAACATTCGAAGTTTCTATGACGAACCCATAAATTCAAAAGATATAGGCGTACATTTAGTTGACGTAGCTACGACTGAAAATGACAAAAATTTTATTTTGGAAGACCTTACATGTAAGGCTTTTGCCATCCCCCATGAAAATAGTATTTTATTGTTGCCTTTGCTCCATAATTTTTAATTAATATCCTTTAATGTATCCTGAAATTTATCCAAGATTTCCGAAAGCCCTCGAAAAATTCAGCGTCTTGCTTTCAACAATATCCGTAAGTTTTTAATGATTAATTTTTAAGTGTTTAAACTAATGTTTAAAAAATTCATATTCTAAAACCACAATCAAAATGCAATTGTCTGGCGAACTTGGAGAAAAAATTAGATCTTCTCATCGATAAAGTTGAAAAATTGGAAGGAAAGTATTAATTTTATTTATATTGTATTCACATATCGGCTATTGCGGCGGATGGACCGAAAAAATAATTGTCCATATTCCTCGATTCTTTTTTGGTATTTTCATAAATAAATATCTAAATTTTCATAATCTATTGGATTCATAGCATATCTCAGCTTTTTTTAAAAAAAAAAAGCCCGAAAGGTAAAAAATGTAATTTTTACCTTTATTTTTACTTTTAAAGACATTTTTATGTTTATTTATTTCTCAAGGAAAACATATGATGTGTTTGCTCTTTTCGTACTAAATCTCTTAATAACAATCTAATAAGACGAGAAAAATTTAAAGAGGGCGAAAAAATGTTCAACTACCTCTTAATTTGTACTTTGATTCTTATCTATGTTCTAATCGTACGTTCGCGACCCAAAACATTATTTTTTTGTAATTGCTTCGCATTAAGTGAAAGCAGGTGGATGAAACTTCATGTGTTAAGCCATTTTAGTGTAAACTATTGAAACTTTAAAAAAATTCCGACTTTTTAAAGAACATTTTTTTTATATTGAATTTTAAAGTGGCGTACGTTTGCGACCGTATGTATGACGTACGTATATAAAAAATAATATTATTAAAAAAAAATTTTTTTTTTGTTTAACAAGCTTATTAATAGTTTTAGATGAATAAAAGAAGTGACAATTGAAATTAAATAAAATTAAAATTTAATTTTTAATAAATTAAAATTTAGTTTTTAATATTATTTAATTAAAAAAAAAAATTGGTGAAACATGATTTTTTAAGAAAATATAAACTTATTTTTAAAAAAAAGAGGTAAAAAAATAACAAAAAAAAATTTTATATGGGGAAAAATGCTTTCGGTTTTCGACAATGATTCTCGCAGCTTCTACGTCATATTTTCGGAGCAGAGCCACGCGACAGAGAGGCAATTAGAGAGATGTAGATGGATGGAAGGGAGTGAAAAAAAATCGGTGTCGAAAACCAAATGAATGGAAGCGACGTCAGAATACCCTTTTTAAAATATGTTGAAATATTTATATATATTTAAGATTATATTTAATTAATTTTTCTTATCTAATCATATGGTATATTGAAATGTTTTAATAATTGGCTTTAGGCAAATCCAAAATGTTCACGTTTGATTATTTGCCTTGTGTGATTCTAATTACAAGGCATTGCGTTGGTCGACTATACCCTGGCACGCGCCAGAATTATCGGTTGTCAATTTTCGGTTTCATCTTGCCTCTCCCCTTCTCTTTGCATTTGATGTTCAATTTGCATAAAAGTTACACGCGTTTGTTTGTTGCGTTTAAAGTTAAATTTTTTAAAAAACGTTGAAGTGATAATACCTGGTGATAATAATTAATTCTGGTGAGTAGTGCATATAATGAACTTATTTATTAGGAAGGCCACCAGCACCGACGAGGCATTGGCAGCGTTAGAATTCGCCTTAGGCCGCGGCATGAAGGAAGAATGTGTAAGTATAATATTTATAAATTAAATATAAAAAAATATTTAATACCTATTAATTTTTGCAGACCACCGCAGTGACCAATATATTGAAGCGCGGACCCCTTACCAAATCGTTAAAATATATTTTCGTCGAGGACCTGATCGTCCAGTACAATATTGACGGAGTTAGTGGGAAGACGAGATTAAAGGCGTTTCCAAATATTTATGGAGTTTTGATTGGTTTGTATTTTAATTACAAATAATGTAAGCAATATCTAATTTCTATTTATTTTATTTACAGATAGTATATCTATGGTGGATCCGGGTAAATCGCCGGAGAAAGTGTTGGGGCACGCTTTGACGTGCATAAAAAATAATAATAAAAAACAAAAAAAAAAGAAATAATAATTAGTAATAATAAATAAATAATAAAAATAATTTGTAAGGTGGGGGGGGGGTGAAATTCCTTACAGATTCCTCACGGTATACCACAGGGATTCCTTGGGGTATTTCCTCAAAGATTCCTCAGAGTATACCCCAGGGATTCCTTGGGGTATTTCCTTAAACATTCCTCAGAGTATTCCCCAAAGATTCCTTGGGGTATTTCCCCAAAGATTCCTGAGAGTATACTCCAGGGATTCCTTGGGGTATTTAGTTCTAATTGCTCTTCGAATAACTGCAGGAATCCTGCAGTATTCCTTGAGGTGTTCGAATTCTTCGATGCGAGGAACTCTTCTATGGAAATTCCTCGATGGTTTCTATGAAACATGCCCCGAGGATTCCTTGGGGGGCAATACTATTACCTCGACGTTTTCTTGAGTAATCCTTGAGGTATGGTACTGAAGGGTACTTTCTGCTATTCGTTACTAACTCTAATGCGGTAAAATAATATCAATTTATTGGGGTGCCGACCACTGTTTTAAAAGTAAAGTTATTGCATTAAAATATTCCATTCCAATTCGCAGATTTATTGATTTTGCTGGAGCAAGCCAAAACCGACTTCCATTTCGCGTACGTTCGCGACCTCATGTTTTTTGCCAATATTATGAAAATGAAAAATCCATTAGAATCATAATTTACACTAAGAAAAGAACTCACCAAATGCTATCGGAAACAAGAAAAAAAAGTATCAGAAAATGTTTTTTCCTTTAATTTTTTGGCACGAACGTACGTTTGCGACCCCAGGAAATGCCCATATACTAATTACAATTTTTATTTCTTTTAGTGTAACACAATATAACCCACGACCAAATTCAAATAGTTGTGGAAGCGCTAGCCGAGCAGAAAACGGATATTGAATTGCTTCAGCGAGGTCACATAAATGTGAATGAACTGCGAAGCCAGTTCCCAATAAAAAACGGAGAGGAGCTTAATATTCTTAATTCTAAAATAAACGAGGACAACAAAAATAACTATGTGAGTACTATCAAAAAGCTGCCTTGAATTATTAAAAAATGAAAATTTATTTCAGGTGTCAATTATAAGGCATTTGTAGCAGCCTGGTGGAGTTGCTAAAAAACTTGAAAAATATAATAAGCGATTCTTTAATGATGGATTATAACGTAGATGGAGTGCAGGGGAAATCCTCATTAAAAACAGCGCAAAATGTATTTTTTGTACTACTTGGTAAGAATTTAAAAACAATATTGGTTTTAATTTTAATAATGATTTTTTTTATAATATAAGATGCAATTACTGCTGATGGCGGCAATGGAACCGCAGACAGCATACTTCGCCGGGCTATTCAATTGAAAAAAGGAAATTTAAAAAAAAATATGCCTCAAAAAACAACGACAACAACAGAAACAAAAACACAATTTTTTCACACATAACACAAGTATTTTTAAGCCAAATGAAATGGTCTAATTCTGTGAATTTATGATATGTAAAATAATTTTATAAATTTTTAAAAATGAATAAAATGTATTAATAAAATGTAAGATTTTTTTTTCTTATAAACTTTTGTTTTTTATTTATAAAATTATTTAATATAATAGAATTAAACAATTTTATAAATAATAAAAAACACAAATTTATATAAAAAAAAAAAACTTTTTCTGGGTATGTAAATCGATGTCCCTTGGTAGATACCCAAGTGGCTATACTGTATAGAGTACGCAATTCCGTACCTAAATCGATGTCCCTTAGTAGTATGTATTTGGGTACTCTTTTTGAGTACCCCAATTCGGTAGTCATTGGTATACCAAGAGGTGACGATTGTACACCACCTATGACATGCCTTAGTTAAATTCGCCTCTAAAATACATGTCTTAGATATTGACTGGTGGGTACTCGTCTACCCTATAGGCATAGTGAATTCGACACCCATGCACTAGTGCTGCGAACTGCTGGGAAGCTTAAATGAATATACACATATGTATGTACATACATAGGTATCCATCTATTCAAAGTTACATATGTATGTACACACATACGTAGTATCAGTGTAAAGTCAATACTCGGAACAATGTTAAGAGTTACCATACAACAGTTTTTTTTTCTTGTTACATGTATATACGTTGTTGTATGTTTATAGGATGCTTAGGTAATTAATAATAAGTTTCCCCTGGGATTCTTAATCATAATTACATACATGTATATGTATGTAAGCAAGCCAAGAGTATTGGAAATTAAGTTTCCATACAACAATATTATCAGACATATAATATGTCAGACTTAAAAACCAGATGTGACTAGTCATCTATTTTTTTTTTTATTCAATTTTATTTTAATTTTTTTTTTAAACACTAAATATGTTAAAATGAATATGTATGTACGAACAAAACAGTGTACCTCGATTATTGATGTTTGAAAAAATCAATTTTTTTTCACATAAGTATAATTATTTTAAAGTATCTTTATAGTAGTAATTGATTATTAAACGCAAGAACTTACTCTGGCCCACTAAAACTTTCAAAGCCATTTTTAATTGAAAATGTTTTATGTAAATCAATGAATCTTTTTTTTTTGGTGGAGAGTGTTTAGGACAATCTTAAAAACAGTTTGGTTAAAAGAAAAAGTGTGACCACAATAGAAATATAAAAATATACCTAATGTGTTTAAAATAATGGTATATTTGTGTGATATACCATATATTTATACATGTATTCATAAAGCCTAGTGCTGAGATAAAAAAAAATGTCTGAAGCAATACTGAGATCGAAAAACATGATTGACGAGTATAAACCAGTGGTCGGCACAGCCCTATCCGCGGGTACAGAAAATTTCTCTGCTCTGGCACACACACAGTATAAATGTCTGAAACGTCATTCTCAGTCTACTCTCTGCTATTGGTTACTAATGCCACTAACCTTACAACAGGAAATTTTTGCGTTCATTTTCGTTGTGCGAAATGCTGTATGGTTAGTGATAATACTAATGCGTTTAAATCATATCAATGTATTGAGTGCCGAGCACTGGTATAAACGTTTAATCTTGCCAGTGTGGACTTATATATTCAAGTTTTGCACTACGTTCCTTCCTAAAAATTATTCGAATTAGAAGGTAAAGCATAGTACTGAGTTGTCGAAAATCCGCTGTCCAACGAGTTACAGCTGTCAAACTCCATATAAAAAAACGGTGTAAAAAAGGAAAGAAGAAGAAATTTTTGCCTTCTAGATTTTGCGGGTACTGAGTTGACGAAAATTTTTTTATCGATTTTAATGGTGTTGCCGGATCAAAAAAAATAAACAGCTGCTCTCGGGGTGTTAAAATAAATATTTCAATTTATTTTTATAGGTGTGACATGGAGGGTCAATTGACCAAACAAAAAAATAGTCGGCCCGAAACATTTTCGACGCGCCAGGACAAATTAAAATTAATTTCTGCGGTCAAGACGAAGCCCATAATATGGGATTTGACCCATATTGCATTGAAATGATTTGTGATTGATTTTGATTTTGACCCAGTTTTCTATTTCTTAATCAGCTCCTTAGCGGCGAAATACATAAACAAAACACCAACATCCAATCGTTTTGAGTTAATTTTTGCTTATTTGTTTTTTGTTTACAAACAACAGCTGTTCAGTATTACCTTATTTCTTCATTGTTTTGGTCACACTACCTCGGCAGCCTAATAAAGTGCAAAATCGCTATCAGAATTTCAACAGCGGATTTTCGTCAACTCAATACTATGCTTAAACATTGACAATATAAAAAAAATCAGATTTAAGTCATTTGTGGATTTAAAACTCATTTGGGTGTAAATATATCAATTTAAAATGATTTTTTTTCAAATTGGCGCTGTTGGTGTCATAAAATTGGCATCAAAATATGGTTTGTCAGACAAATCTGTTATGACGAGAAAAATTTTTACTATTTTATAAAATATATATAATATTTAGCGCATCGGATTCAAAAAGTTGACTTTGGCAAGCCTTAACTTCTTGATTTTTTTCATTATTACAACAAAAAAAAGACGAAAAATGTCTTGCAAGTATATCACTGACCCTGTCAAACGGGATGAAACATTAAATTGTTTTATCTTTTCGCTAGGACCTATAAAACGTTCCTTAGTTCCGGTTGGCTTCCCCATGTAAATTTCTGGTATTTTTTTTTGTATTTGAGTCGGTGTGGTGAAAAAACCCTTTCAGAACCCTTTATGAAAAGACCCTGCCAAAAACAGTTTTTCACCTTTTTGGCTATCGCTCATTTCCATAGCTGGAAAACAGTCATTCCAAACGCTTCGTCTCCGGCCTATTTTTTGTTAAACAGGGTTCTACATACCGATTGGGAAATGGCTAGTTCTGGCGATCACCATGGAGCCCTAATTCGTTATTTTTGTTTTTTTTTTTTAAGCATGATCTTTTTAGAGCAATATTGCAGGCTTGGGTAAATTGTTAAACCAGGGAGTTAAGACTTTTCATGGTTTGCGGGTAGTCTGATGGTTTTGGTGAGATGTTCTTTTGAAGGTTTTGTGAATATTTGGTCTTGAAAACTTCTGGGTTTTCAAAAACTTCTGGCTTAAAGCTTTTCAAAAGTAGGGATGTTTCTATGTATGTATCTATGGTCGAAGAAATGGTGGAAGTTTATCTGCAGAATTCGCAAGAACATCTGCTAAACTTCCCTCCACCACTGTAATGTCCGCCTCTTCACGGTTCAATTCTGGGTCAATTTCTTTTTGGAGGCCGGCATCCAGATCTTCACTTGGGGCCTACAGGCGACGTCTCACCAGCTCAGCGCAACAAGTCTGACACCATCGTAGACCTCGCCAAGCTCCGTTACTGCAGTTTTATAAAGCTCTGCAGATTGCTTGTCGTCGCACGCTACCACGTTAACGCTCTCCTGGAACCACCCCGCGTCTTTGAAACATTTCGTGGCAAAGGCGGCTACTACCCATCTCCATTTGTGTCGACGTATCTTGCCGTCAGGGTTGCCTTGGCCGACATGGCCGTTCTTAGAAATTTCCGCAAATGACCTTTTCGGCTGAGTGGGCAACCGCTGTGCCGTAATCTTCTTGCACGTCTTTTGAGCGTTCTCGCTTGGGTTGCGGTCGCTCCTTTTTGTTCTCCTATGGCGGCAAAACGCTTCTGGCCCACTCCATCATTTTCGGCCACTCCTCTGAGCTTCTAGAGGTTTTGGGGTCTTTGTGGCTTCTTAGTATTTATAAAATAGGTTTTATATATTTTATATAGGTTGGCTATCTACATTACCATTTACGCGGAAAGGCCGTTTTTATTAATTTTGGAGTTGTTTTTGAATTTGAATGGTTATTGTTATTATTGAATGGTTATTGTTGTTTTTTGAATTGTTAGTTTTTTAAAATCTAGTATAAGATAACTTAGGGAGGAGCGGGAGCCAAAGCTTATATTCGTTCTTGTGCCCGCTTCGCCGCAATAGATAAGTTAGGCTTATGGTTAGAGAAAAATATAGAAATCGAATTATAGCATTGAAGAGGCAGCATCTTTCGTTCTCTTACTTATCGTTTTATATTTAGCAGCCACCAATTATTTTGTATTTTTTGATTTGTGAGAGATAAAACTATCTCAATAAAAATAAGGAATCTAGTGCTTAATATTAACAAAAATGAAAAGCTAACTTGGGGCAAAGCCGAAGTAAAAAAACCTTTTGGGTCGGCAGCAGCCTTTTTTTTTTTGTGTTATGTTTATTTATTAGGCTTAAGAGTGTACAAATCGCTTAGTTGGTCGCAAGCCGACTCTCTCTCGGCGGCTTGACTCCAACGGGCCTTTCTTTAGGGAGTTTTAACTCCGTCTAGGTCGGGCCGCCCTTTCCGTTATCTTTAGCTTCGCAATGTCTAATCGGGCCGCAATCTTTTTACATAACATTAAGACCCTCCATGCACCAAAGCTGGTCTATCTATGTTGATCTATCTATAGTTATCTATAGTTAGCCAAACTTATCAGAATATCATAAAACAAATTTATAACAATACGAAATCTAAAAACAAGTCCCTAACTTCTATCTTCTAGAAAATCTATGTTGGTATTTTTACGAAATACCATTTCCGATCGTTCAGTTATATGGCAGCTATAAGATATAGTCGGCCGATCGTTATGAAATTCGGAAGGTCGGATAAAGTGACTGACCCTGACTGACTGAAATCTGAACGAAGTTCCAATTTTCTGTCTTCAAAAACACGAAAGTTGGATCATTTCTAATTGTTCAGGTACATGGCAGCTGTAAGATATAGTAGAAACAGACAGACGGACATCCTTATATCAACTCAGGGGGTGATGCTGATCAAGAATATTTACACTTTATAGGGTCGAAGATGTTTCCTTCACTACGTAGCACATATTTCAATAAAATGATAGTACTCTCTGTGAGGGTAGAAAAAATTGCTTACAAAATTAAAGGTGGCAGTGACACAGTGTTTACATAAAAAATATATTAAAACATTCAAAACAAAAACAAAAAGCTGCTCGCAACGCGTCTGTTAAGTGTAACTTCAGTTTAAATAAATTCACCGCGTCGTGAAATCAGGACAAGCCTGGATCCACGATCATCGCATCACCACCATCCCCATGTCCTTCACCTGCATCGACTTCAAGAGGAAAGTGGCAACGGAATGGAAGGATCCTATGGCAGAACCACAAGATTTTGTGCAAAAAATTGAAAGTCAAGAAAAGACAAATTAAATTCAAATTTTGTGCTGAAATATGCACCCTCCTTTTAATTCATTGCGCATACGTAGTACGTATTACGTAGTACGTATTACGTACTTGAAAATTAGTAGAGCTACAATATTTTGAACATAAGTACATACATACAAAAATAAATAAAAAATTGCCTGTGGACAAAAAACATAACATAAACATAACAAGAAAGGGAAGCTAACTTTGACCAAAACTATAACGGTAGACAACGCGTTTTCCGCTCCTCTTTATGTACATTTATGTACATATATACATGCATGTATGTATATGCAAGTTATCCAACCCCTAAATACAGGCCACTTATGGCTTTTATAAACAATATTTTCAATCTCTGCATTTGCCTTTGGCTTGATCTTTGGCTCAATTATCCAACCCATAAATCCAGGCCACTTATGGCTTTCCACTTATGAATTTTATAAACAATATTTTCAAACTCTGCATTTGCCTTCGGCTTTGTCTTTGGCTCCGAAGCCCAATCAATTACGCCTTTTGCGTTTCAAGTACCCACCAAATTGCATCGATCAGCTTAATCGAATTTCACAATAAGATGCGACAGTTTCATCTTAAGCCTCTAATCTAAACACAACTGATGGCTGAGATCTTTGGATCAGATTTAGAATTAAGAAGTCAGTCCTATTTTGACCGAGACCGCGAACGGTTGACAAAAAATATTTAAGAGAAATCAAATTGTCTTGTAATTGTTACGTTTAATAAATAAAGGTTTAACACCAAGTTGTATAATTAAAAAATAAAATTTACATTTTTTTAATTCACCGAACTACAAACAATTTAACTTGCATTACTATTTTTTTTTAGATACTCAGTGCCTCGACAATCAACATTATTCGACTTTTAATTAATTATTTTCATTTTTAAATAATTAAAAACAAAAATAAAAAATATATTATATTATT